TCCATGCCAACCAGGACGAAGTCTGTGACCTCACCCCGAGCCTCACTACTGCACAGAAGATGCTAGGACCATCCCCAGGACCAAGTGAGCTCAGCGAGCACCAGCTGGTAAGTGGTAGAACTAGCACCTGGGTCCAGGATTCCCTGACCTCAGACCCCACCTGATCACTTGGTCTCCCTACACAGGCTGCAAGCCAGGAGTCAATACTGCTTCTTCCCTGGGGTATTTTGTGTGGCCTGTCCAGTGCAGGCCCAAAGAGAATGTCTTCTCTGTTTGTTTGAGACAGGCTCTCACCCTCTTGCCCCGGCTAGAGTGCATTGGTTCAGTCATGGCTCACTGCAGCCTCCAACTTCTGGCCTCAAGTAATCCTCCCACCCTGGCCTCCAAAGTGGCTGGGACGACAGGCACATATCACCATGCCTGACCCAAAGTAGCATTTCTTAATAAATATGTAAATTCATTGCCATTTAGAAATCAGAAACGATGCACATAAAAGTCTGGCTTTTCAGCTCCATGATCTCGAACAAATTATTATTGTTCTGAGCCTGTTTCCTCAACTGAAAGAGAATAGTATTACCCTATATTCATCATGTAAGCCCTGTTAATGTATGTAACTCTTATATGTGAATATTTAATATTTACATTACAAATATAAACTATTAATAAATGTTACAAATATACGCCATAAACTTTCAAATATAAACTTTTATATAAACTTTCTATTACAAATATGAACTTTCTATTAATAAATAATAGTATTTATAATAAAATATTATTAGGGCCATAAGGTGTCTGTTGGATAGTGTACCTGCTTGACTCAAATCACTCATGTTCACAGCCCTACACTTCAGTTGCCTGGAGTCATAGAAAAGTCTGTGATTTTGGAAGGGATACCTAGCTCATCGTGTGTAATTCGGGAACTGTCACCACACTGGGATTCTGCAGAAAGAGCTTCCTCCTCTCCCCCATATCTGAGGCTGTGAGCTGAGGTCCAGCCCCTCAGTTGGACCATTTTCAGGCCAGCAATCCGCAGCTGCCAGGGCTGTCAGTCCACCCAGGAGGTCCCTTCGTCATGCTCTGGGGCAGACACACTGGGTTCCCAGGTACTGACTGGGATTCCTACAATAAGACAATGTCTAGGCAGGGAGGAGTAGAAGGCCCTTCCCTCCACAGCCTGGGTCTCCTGAGGCTGCCCCTCAGCCAAGGCCTGACCCAGGAGCCTTCTCCAGCTGTCCACTCTAAGGCCAAATGCAGGGGATTCTCTTTGGCTGGGGCAAAGGTGTATTAAATATGCCTTTTATTTTCTGATGCTTTGACATCTTGGAGCCTTGCTGACTTTGGAGGGACTGTCCCTCCCAGATCTGGGTCATTCCTAGAGGTAGAAAATGAGCCCCCTGAGAGCGTGCCTTTCACAAGCAAACCACCCAAACCAGAGCCCACACTCAGCTCCTCCTCCAGTAGGCTCCCAAACTCAGGGCCTCTGTGCGACTGCCCTCATCACCCAGGGCTGGAAACCAGACAACAGAACAGTGCTTGTGCCTCAGAGCCACTAAATTACTCAGAGAAGCCAATCCTGCTCCTTGCTGTGGAAGCCACAGAAAGGCTCCTGCCCATGTTCTCTCCTGGCCCCACTGCCTCCTGACCCGCCCTGTGGCTTCCTGTGTGGCCTGGCGTTACCCTGTCCTCTCAGGAACTGTCACAACTCTCTTTTCACTCACTGGTGTCTCCTAACCTATGGGCCTTGCCTTCCCTGAATAACAAAACCTACATTTTAAATCAAACGGGCTGTGGACAAAAGACTGAGGAATCTAAGTCAGATCCAGGTCTCCAGGGACTATGTTAGGTCCAGGATGGAATGGGCTGCTGCCTCAGAAAACTCACTTGCTTATTTGTGATTCAGCCGGGAAGCATTTATTGAGCACCTACCATTAACTTTTTCATTCAACAGACATTTACTGAGCACCTACTGTGTACCGGTGATATGCCAAGTGCTAGGGAAACAACAGTGAGAAGAAACGACGACATCCAGATTTCTCCCCTCATGCCCGTGATGGAGACAGATGGTAAAGAAAGAAAACAGGTATCAGTACACGCTGCAGTACATAAGATGGGGAATACGAAGCAGGGGAAGAAGAAGGATGACGGGGGGCAGTGTTTAATCAAGGGCTGCGTATCAGTTACGGTTCTCCAGAGATGCAGGAGTGACACAATTAATATATTTATATATGTCCTATCACATAGATTCCCTTATGTAGATCATATGTATCCTGTATATCTTATGTAGATATATATGCCATTATATATTACATATTTATAATATATACATTATGTGTCATATATAGATTGGGTTTTTTGTTTTGTTTTGTTTTTGAGATGGAGTTTCTCTCTTTTTGCCCAGGCTGGAGTGCAATGGTGCGATCTTGGCTCACTGCAACCTCTGCCTCCCAGGTTCAAGTGATCCTCCTGTCTCAGCCTCCCAAATAGCTGAGGTTCCAGACACATGCCACCATGCCCAGCTAATTTTGCATTTTTAGTAAAGACAAGTTTTCACCATGTTGGCCAGGCTGCTCTCAAACTCCTGAGCTCAGGTGATCCACCTGCCTTGGCCTACCAAAGTGCTGGGATTACAGGTGTGAGCAGTGAGTCACTGCACCCAGCCTTTCTTTTTCTTTTCTTTTTTTTTTTTTTTTTTTTTTGAGAGAGTCTTCCCCAGTCACCCAGTCTGGAGTGCAATGGCCCAATCCTCACTGCAACCTCTAATTCCTGGACTCAGACAATCCTCCCACCTCATTCTCCTGAGCAGCTGGGACTGCAGGTACATGCCACCACACCTGGCTAATTTTTCTAACATTTCTGTAGAGATGTCTTGCTATGTTGCCCAGGCTGGTCTCAATCTCCTGGTCTCAAGTGATCCTCCCAGCCTGGCCTCCCAAAATGCTGTGATTATAGGTGTGAGCCACCATGCCCAGCCCTATATATATCTTAGGCATATCTTTTTATATACCTTCTATTTCTTGTTATACATATGGCATATGTATACTTACATATAAATAGATTTGATTTAAATAACTAGCTCATGCTACTGTGGGAGCTGGCAAGTCCCAAATCCGTAAGACAGACTGGTGGGCTGGAAACTCAGGCCAGAGTTGGCACTGTACTCCTGAGGCAGAGTTTCTTCCTCTCCAAGAAACTGGTTTTGCTCTTAAGGCCTTCAACTGATTAGATGAGGCCCACCCACATTACAGATAATAATCGTTTACTTAAAGTCAGCTGATGTGGACAGCATCCACGTCTATAATGTGCCTTCTCAGCACCAATGGAGCTCACTGTGCAATGGAACTGCTGGGCACTGGAGCCCAGCCAGGCCAACATGTGAAAATGAGCATCAGGGGCCTGAGGAAGCTCAGCGTGGGTGCTGGGTCAGGAAGGGAGAGGGCCCTGCAGTGGGAGTTGGCTGGGCCAGCACTGGGAATGGAAGGAAGCACAGTGTGGCTGGAGCAGAGCGAGGAAGGGGAGCAGGACAGGAGGTGGGAGAGGCTGCATCAGATGGAAGGTTGGGAGGAGTTTGGCATTTGCTCCGAGTGATGTAGTGAGTGCGTGGTATGGACCCCTACTGACCTGGAAATGGGGTCATTCAGACCCCATCTAGCAGCACAACCTCTACCTCAAGGCCAGGCTTGTGTCAGGCCTGGGGACACAGGACCCTGTGAGGCTGAACGGGAAGGCCAGCATAAAACCCCAAATAGTGCCTTGGACAGATGTATGGGGTAGGAGACTTGTTAATAAGCAAGTTCATGACCTGCTTCATCCTCCCCAAACCCACATTTTCATGGGGGTAAATTTAACTTTGACTTCAGTAAGTACCTGACTGAGAAACTGAGGGGTGGAGTGGTGCCATGGACTGCAGTCCAGCTTCTGGAGTCAGACTGTGTTTGAATCCACCTTGGGCAGGTGGCTGAAACTCTGTGAGCCTGTTTCCATCTGTAGAGTAGGGGTGATGAGAGGAGCCCCTCAGAGGTGGGTAATGACTCCATCAATGAGGCCATTATTCGAGCCCCCTCAGGGTTCCTCTTGGGGAAATGTGGAGTTTCCCACTGAGTGGGGAGCTTGCCCAGGAGGCAGGAGCCCAGGGGAGTGAGACCCACCTGGCAGTGCAGCAACCGCTCCAGAGGAACCTCAGTGCCCTCCATATCAGCTTGGGTTGCACGGAAAAGAAACAGGAAGGACCTTAGAGGTGGCCCCACCAGTTCTTTGGATGGGAGAGGGGGATCGTGATGGTGCAGCCTCGATCCCATCTCTGCTTCACATATTGAGGAGTCCAGGAAACCAAGGCCAGGAGTCAAGTCCTGAGAAATTCAATATGTCCATCTCCAGAAGTAGTCCAGTGTAGGCAAGGAGCATGAACCTTGGAGCCCCAGTGGACCCCAGCTCACATCCTGGCCCCTCCACTTCCATGCTGTGTTCCCTCAGGTAGCTTACCTTTCCTCACTGAACTTCAGATTCCTTATCTGTACGACATGCACATGAATCCCTACCTCAAGGATCCTGTGAGGGTTAAATGAGAATTTCATCTCTCCAAAGGGCCTTAAGACTGTCTTCCCCCTCCATTTTGCCACTAAAGAGTAGTGAAATCTTGTGTACATATTAGCTAATATTTGTTGACTGCTGTAACATCCCATTCTCTGCAGTTCACACATATCATCTCATTTATTGCCACAACAGGTGCAACTAAAACAATATCTGATCAAGACTCGCTGCTAGAAACCACCACAATCCCACATGAGAAGCCAGCCTGAGGATGACGCTAACTCATGAAAGGAAAGCCAGAGAGTCACAGAGAACCAAAGCTATGGCTCCAATGATGAGAGCCTAGATCAAACCCACCCTGATGCCCACTTGACTGCCAGAATTTGAAAAATGGTCAACCTTGTTTATACACATCACAGTGGCTGTTTTTGCTATTTGCAGAATGTGCTTGCTGATATAATTTTTTTTCTGTATTATTTCTTTATGTACACCATTGTCAGGGAGTGTGGAACAATGGGAAATGCCAGGACATTAGCAACCAGTAGTATCAAATATCAGCACAAAGAGGACAGTCTAAAATGCCCAAGAGAAAGTACCCTTTGAGGAACACTCTTATGTGTAAACAGAGCTTCACTCGACCTTAGGAAACTCACTTAAAGTTACTGATGTGGTCTAACTGTTGGTGCCTCCCCATGTTCACATGTTGGAAACTCAGTCCCCAGTGTAATAGTATGAAAAGGGAGGACCTTTGGGAGGTGATGAGGAGATGAGGGCAGAGCCCTTGTGACTGGGATTAGCACCCTTATAAGAGGCCTGAGGAAGTCTGCCGTTCCCAACCACGTGAGGACACACCTAAAAACACTACCTATGAAGAACACACCCCATCAGACACCAAATCTGCCAGAGCCTTGATCTTGGACTTCCCAGCATCCAGAACTGTAAGTGATAAATTTCTATTGTTTATAAATTACCGGGTCTAAGGTCTTTTGTTACAGCAGCAGGAAGGGACTGAAGACAGTTGCTTTCACATTTAGCTGCAAAAATAGCTATAAAAATAGTCTGTGCTAAGATGTGTATACTTATTGCATACATGCACATTTAATCTTGAATATCAAACCTGCTGCTCTTTCTTTTCCCTCTTGCTCCCCCCACAATCACTGAAGCTGATTTTGACCAGACAACTAGTCAAAACAGAAGACTGTTTAAAATGACATAGTGTCCCTTAATTAACAGTTTTATTTTTTAAAAAAATGTTAACAGACCACTCTAAGAAACTTTGGCATTAAAAGCAGTCGTTATTGTTATTTGCTAACTCTGAAAAAAAATTTCCCCTTACAAACAACTGGCAAACTGGTGTCTTCCAATGCATGCTGCAGGGAAATGGTGGATGGAGGGATAGAAAGGCCCGCAGGCTCCCAACCCACCGAGAAAATGCAGACGGTGACAAGCTGCATCTGGATGCCAGGGTGTATCTGACAAAGGGAGAGACGGTTCAAGGTTCACCTGATGAGGCCACCTCCCTCCCCAACACCTCCACTTGGCCATTGAAGAAACAGATGTGGAGGAACAGATGTGGAGGCCAGTGTGACCTGTCCAAGCTCATAGGACAATTATTCAGAGGACTAGTCTGGAACCACGATGTCTGTTACCAGCAGCCATGGCTCAGCTACAGTGAACCTTGAAGTGTCCCCAGATACATCAGACACTGAGGGGCTTGCTTTCTGAGGCCCAGTAAGGAGGGGGTACCTGTGATTGGACAGCTGCTCTACAACCCCCCCCGTTCCTGAGCTCCCCTGACCCTGAGTCCCCACCCCAGAGAAGAACTTCTCACAGGACGGATCAGGCAAGCATTTGGCGCCAAGGCAAGCCATGCACCAAGCGCTCAGGTATGAATCCGAAGGTGGCGCGTCAGGTTCGTGTTGCGGCTGAACGTTTTCCCGCACTCGCCACACCGGTAGGGCTTCTCACCAGTGTGGATCCTCTGGTGCACAGTGAGGGACGAGTTCTTGATGAAGGACTTCCCGCACTGGCCGCAGCGGTAGGGCTTCTCGCCAGTGTGGATGCGCTGGTGCTCAATGAGGTAGGCGCTCTGGCTGAAGGCCTTGCCGCACTCGCCGCACTTGTAGGGCTTCTCGCCGGTGTGCACGATCTGGTGCACGATGAGGGACGAGCGCCCCGTGAAGTGCTTCTTGCAGATGTAGCACTCGTAGGGCTTCTCGCCAGTGTGGATGCGCTGGTGCTGCGTGAGCGAGGAGTTCTTGCTGAAGGCCTTGCCGCACTCGCTGCACTCAAAGGGCTTCACGCCAATGTGGAAACGCTGGTGCTGGATGAGGTAGGAGCTCTGGCTGAAGGCCTTGCCGCACTCGCCGCACACGTAGGGCTTCTCGCCTGTGTGGTTCCGCTGGTGCAGGGTGAGCGAGGAGCTCTTGTTGAAGGCCTTGCCGCACTCCTGGCAGGTGTAGGGCTTCTCCCCTGTGTGCGTGCGCTGGTGCTCGGTCAGGTGCATGTTCTGGCTGAAGGCCCGGCCGCACTCAGGGCACACGTATGGCTTCTCCCCGGTGTGCGTGCGCTGGTGAACGATGAGGTGCATGTTCTGGCTGAAGGCCTTGCCACAGTCCCCGCACGCATAGGGCTTCTCCCCCGTGTGGATCCGCTCATGCTGGGTGAGGGACGAGGTCTTGCGGAAGGCCTTGCCGCACACGTGGCAAGCATACGGCTTCTCGCCCGTGTGCGTGCGCTGGTGGACCGTGAGGTTCATGCGCTGGCTGAAGGCCTTGCCGCAGTCCGCGCAGGTGTAGGGCTTCTCACCCGTGTGCACCCGCTGGTGAATGGTGAGGGAGGAGCGCTCGATGAACTGCTTCCCACAGGTGTCGCACTCAAACGGCTTCTCCCCCGTATGGATCCTTTGGTGCTTTAACAGGGACGAGCTTCGGCCAAAGGCCTTGCCACACTCATCACAATCATAGGACTTCTTCTCCACGCAGGGAATGAGGGGCTTACTGAGGTCTGAAGTGCTGCAGAAGTTCTTGCCATGCCTTATGGGTGGACAGGCCTCCTTTTTCTTGGTATCGTCTGGCTGTGGTGGGACCAGGACAGAGCTTTGGTTGGCAAATGCCCTCAGGTCATGACATCCGGGTACTGAAGCCCCCAAGAGCTTGTTTCCCTGGGGAATTCCCAATGGCTCCCACTCCACCCCTGCATCTCCCTGCGGCCTCCCTGGCCAACTGCCTGGTTCCCACACTCCTTCTGAGGCAGGACCTTGGGAACCGTTCCTCGTGGGTCCTCCCATGGCCACCCCTACAACGGAAGGCTTGTCTTCCAAAATGTCATTTTTTGGATCCAACTCTTTCATTTCAGGTCTAGTCTCCCAGTCTGAAAAAAACAAAAACAGAAGATGCAAATATATATAGTTAAAGATGCTGGGAGTGGGGAATTTCCACAGCGGGAAGAAGCAAATGAAACCGACCACAATGAGTCCCACGGCATAGAGCGAGTTAGCAAATAAGAACCTTGGATCAGAGGGAGGGAGGGAGGAGGGAGACATGGAACTGAGGCCAATGTGGTTTATAAGCCAGTGTCAACACAGGAGGTGAGCAGGGAGAACCAATGTCACTTCAGAAGAGAGAGAAAAGGGGCACCAGGAACTGAGATAGGGCACACCTAGAGAGAAACTACAGCAGTGGCCCAGGCTTGCAGGAAACGAACTGCAGGCTCTGCAAACTTGAGCAGGAATGAGTGCACCTGGCTCCTGACTTGCAAGGTCCTCCTCACTGCATCTTGCATGTCCACAACCAGTCATGCTACCCAAAGCATGCTTTTATCAGAAATAATAAGATGGTTAGGCATGGTGGCTCATGCCTGTAATCCTAACATTTTGGGAGGCTGAGGCAAGGAGTGTTTGAGACCAGCCTGGGCAACATAGTGAGACCCCCCATTGCTACTAAATTGTTTTTAAAAAATTAGCTGGGAATGGTAGCACATGCCTACTATCCCAGCTACTTGAGAGGCTGAGGTGGCAGGATCACTTGAGCCCAGGAAATCGAGGTTGCAATGAGCTATGACTGCATCACTGCACTCCAGACTGGGTGACAGGGTGAGACCCTGTCTCTAAATAAATAAATATTGAAAAAAATAAAGAAAAAGAATAAATACGTAATAAAATAGCTAGCATTTAAAAGGGCTGTGTTGGTTATTCTCTACTTCTTCAACCCACTTTCCATTCTCCACCCTTCTCTGACCTGCCCTGTACTCAGCATGCTAACTTTGCCCACTGGCTTCCAGTGTGTTTGGCCAAAGGCAGGAAACTGGAAGGGAAAGGAGAGAGAAGTTGGGCATTTCTCCTGCCCCTTTCCCACTTCTTTTGATGTAGCTGCCCCAGGGTTGCTGGACCAAGATCCTCTCTCCTGGCTGGAGCTTCCGCTCCTGCTAGCTCATCACACACCTGCCCTGGCTGGCCCCAGCCCTCCCACACCGCGGCCCTCTTCTCAGCCTCAGCACGAGGAGTGTTCATACCCACAGGACCTCTCATGTTGCCCCAGCACATCCCTCTCTGCTGCCTGGTTCTTGGGTGGCAGGCATTCTGTGGAGCTTGGGTTCGGCCCCTCTTCTCTGCCTATCCACCTCTCCCTGGCTAACTACCTCCATGCCTACAGCTTCAGTCACCTTCCACGTGTGTCCTGTTCATTTCTAAACCTCAATATCTAGCCCAGGTTGGCTCTCTGGAGTCTAGACTCTGCATCATGGGACTCATTCCCAGCATTTAAAAATTGATGTCCATGTGGCTGCTAGCTCATAAAAGACATGAAGATATGGCCACATAGAGCCTCACTCTTATGGGTGACAAGACATTGGATGGGGCGCAGCTGTCCCCTCCCCCACATAAATGATCCACCTGGTAGTCCCTGAGGCCACCTGAGTTTGAGACCCCTCTCCTGAATCACACACTGGGCCTTCAAAGCCACACTAAGTGATTCTGGGTCTAAATGTTATCCACAGGCTGATACTGCTCAAACATGTACCTCCAGCCCGGGCCTGCTTTCTGGGCTATGACCAAAATGTTCAAGAAAGCCTGGCATCTCAACTGGATAGCCCAAGCCTAAGACATCTGATAGGAAACTTGGGATTTCAGAGTTTCTCCACCAAAATCTTTCAAACACCGCATGTTCTCACTCATAGGCGGGTGTTGAACAACGAGAACACATGGACACAGGGAGGGGAGCACTAGACACTGGGGTCAGCTGGGGGGAAATAGGGGAGAGACGGTGGGGGTGGGGAGTTGGGGAGAGATAGCAAAGGGAGAGATGCCAGATGTAGGTGATGGGGAGGAAGGCAGCAAATCACACTGCCATGTGTGTACCTATGCAACAATCTTGCATGTTCTTCACATGTACCCCAAAACCTAAAATGCAATAAAAATGGGGAAAAAAAAAACAAAAATCAAAACAAAACAAAAAAAAAGCAAAGCCCATGAAAAAGACTTAGTAAAATAACTCAGACATGAAAGGATGAACACTATGTGATTCCACTCATCTGAGATACGTGGAGTTGGATTCCCAGAGACAGAAGGTAGAACAGAGGATGCCAGGGGCTGAGGAGTGGGATGGGAGGTGGTGATTAATGGGGATAGAGTTTCATTTACAGAAGATGAAAAGAGTTTTGGGGATGGACAGTGGTGATGGCTAAACAAAAATGTGATGTCTTTAAGGCATTTCTCCTGCCCCTTTCCCACTTCTTTGGTGTGGCTGGTTGTGAGTACACTGAACTGTACTCCTAAAAATGGTTAACATGGTAAATTTTATATTCTGTGTATTTTTTCACATTTTAAAATATAACATTAAAAAAAATGTTTTAGAGAGACTTTGGAGACACCCGACTTACCCTTTTCCTCCCACTGTCCTGACTGCTAGCAAGCATCGCTGTGTACAAACAGCCTGAATCAGACCAAATCTCCCTGTCCCCACTGACAAACATCCGGCTGGCCACTGAGGGTCTTTGTCTGAAATGCAACAGCAGCTCCTACCTGTCCTCCCCACCCCATTTCCACCTCTGTGATGCATCCTCCACTCCTCTGGGAGTAGGGTCTTCTGAAGAGTCAGATCAAGCCCTCCCGTGGCCTCCCTACTATACTGAGAATGAAGCTAGCACCTTCCAGCAGCCTCAGGGCCCTCAGCAACCAACCAGCCTGCCTGAGTCATCCCCTGCCCACCCTCTCTCCCTCATTTTTCAATACCATGCTCTCCCTCTTGTCCGTGTGAAGTTCTTCCTGCCTCAGGGCCACTGCACCCGCTGTGCTGCGGACCTGCCATGGATGCCCTTCTCATCCTTCAGGACTGTTTCCCCACTGCCCCACAGGAGCCTTCCCAATCCACCCTAGGTAAGGAAGGAAGGTCCTCCTGCCCATTTCTGTATGAACACTCAGTGGCCTGGGGCAAATTTTCTCTGCCTGTCCCTTGATCTGTTTATTATCAGCTCCCAGGAGGAGTCAGCTTCACCACAGGCAAGGGCCTTGCTCACCCCCAAGCTCCTCACACAGCCTACACAAGGAAGGCACCAGATGAGCAAGTATGGAGCCCTGGCAACATGCCTGGCACAATGCTGAGCAATCTGCATGGATCTCTAGAGACTCTTACAATCATACATGAGTTAAGTACAGTAGTGGACAGTTATGATCATCCCATTTTGCTTACGAGGAAACAGATTCCAAGAAGGGAGTCAGATATGTTTTCGAGGGTACATAATACACCTGAGGAACGGCTAGGATCCAAGCCCTGGATGTGTGGCCCCGAGCTGTGGCTCCTGAGGAGTGACTATATTGTCACGTATCGCTTTTCCCATCTCAGAGAAAAGAGCTGAGAAATACTTAATGCAGGAGAATGATCATGGTTTAGAGACCTCAGTCAGGGTGTGGCACAATGCCCATATGTTGGCACAGGTGGTAGTGCGGGGTCTAGACTCAGTGGAGAGAACACTGTCTCCAAGGGTGATGGCAAATTTGGTTTGGGTTGGATAGGGTCTGAGATGCTCCGGAATATGAGCTGACAGCGACTGGAGAGGACCAGGAGTCTTGGTTGCGAATACAGCCGGAAGTCTCCTGGAGTGAATATTACCTCAAGAAATCAGGAGAGTTGTGGGCAGAATACCAGCAGAGGGACAGGGGGAAGGAAGTCACCTCCCTTTCACAGGTAGAGATCATCCACAAACAGGAAACACTCAGCTCTCAACCATGACAGCTGTGAAAACACAGTTCCATGCCACCCAGATTAAAACTACCCCACCACACCTTTTCTGTAATCAGGTCAGCAAAAGAGCAGGAAGTCTGATGGCATGGCCACTGTCATGGGAGACGTCCCAAGCTTCTGCAGAGGGTACTTTGGCCAAAAGCCGTTAATGTGCAAAATGTTATTCATTCCTTTTGATACAAATGTAGGTGCATTCTTTCTTCACATTACTAAATCTCTTGTCTTTCATAGTTTCTTTTTCCGTTTTCTGTCTTTCTATGCTTGTTTCTGATTACAAAGTAATTCACACTTGTTTCTAAAACATCAAATACCAAAACAGTAATGGAGAAAATGGAAGTCTCTGTAACCTCAGCACGTTGGGAGGCTGAATCGGGCAGATTACTTGAGGTCAGGAGTTTGAGACCAGCTGGCCAACATGGGGAAACCCTGTCTCTACTAAAAATACAAGAATTAGCTGTGTGTGGTGGCAGGTGCCTGTAATCCCAGCTACTTGGGAAGCTGAGATGCCTGTATTCCCAGCTACCTAGGAGGCTGAGGCAGGAGAATCACTTGAACCTGGGAGGTGGAGGTTGCAGAGAGCTTTGTGCCACTATACTCCAGCTTGAGCAACAGAACAAGACTCTGTCTCAAAAAAAAAAAAAGGACGTCTCCTGTAATCTCACTCACCAGAGTTAACAGTTTGGTTTCTATTTTAGACTCCCCTCGGACACATACCTTTAAAAAAATACATACAACACACCTGTAAATGCACACATACATTTTTCCTCCCAAATGGGGCTTTCGTCCAAGACAGAGTATAAAGGATGAGATTCCCTCAAGCCTGAAACAAAATATATAAAACAATGGTTGTGAAGACACTGAATATCAGACAATGAAGGGCAACAATCCCTGAGAAAAGAAAATCAAACAAGGTGGGTCCTAAAACTGCCCCAGAGGCTGGGAAGTTTCCAGGCTCTGACAAAGGAAAGGAAAATTGAGGCACAGTCTGGCAGACTTCCCAAGTTCAGGAGATGGAGTTGAGAGACCAAGGCAGACAGAGTTCCCAGGACAGACCAAGGCAGAGCTCCCAGGAGAGACTAGAGGGGAATGAGCTGCGCAGGGAGTATTCTGGAGACCTGCAAAGAACTCCCTCCAGTAGTCAGCAGAGTATTGGTCAAAAGGTGCATGTAAGGAAACTACCCAACACAGCAAAAAGCCATCTGAAAGGATTTGAAAACAGTGCCCAGTGCTTTTTCCTACCAGTCAGACTGTAAAGCCTTGTCATTAATGGGGCTTTAGGCAGAACACCCAGAATGGTCTTGTGGAGAATGTCTTTCTAGACTGAGTGCAAGTCATAAGAGCAAGATCTGAAAGGATGACATTCCTTGGTATTGGTGCAAAGGCCGACGAACAGATGGACAGAACAGAATTGAGAACTGGACCCACACTTGTATAAACTACTGATTTTTGACAAAAGTGCAAAGGCAATTCATTGGAGAAAGTTGTCCTTTCAACAAACGATGTTGGACAACTGGACATAAATTTGCCCTCCCATCCCAGAATAAACTTGGCTTAATACTTTACATCATATTAAGAAATTAACTCTAAATGGATCAAAGAACAAAATGTAAAACCTAAAACTATATAATTTACAGAAGAAAACCTCGGAGGCCTTGGGATAGGACAAGATTTCTTACAAATGACACCAAAACCAAAAAAATTGATAAATTGGACTTCACTGAATTAAAAGCTTCTATTCTTCAACAAATTGTGCTGGGCCATCTGGATATTCACATGTAAAGGAATGATGCTGAGCTCCTTTCTTACACCAGTCATAAAAATTAACTTAAAATGGATCAAAGACCTCAATGAAGTGCTAAACCAATAAAACCTTAGAAGAAAACACAGGAATAATTCTTCATGACTTTGGGTTAGGTATTTCAGATATAACACCAAAAATGCAGGCAACAAGAACAAAAAAAAATAGATAAATCAGACTACATCAAAATTTAAAACTTTAGAGTCAGAAACAATGCCATCAAGAAAGTGAAAACAATCCACAGAATGGGAGGAAATATACGCACAGCTTGTATCTGATTTAAAAAACTTGTATCAAGTATAATGAACTTTCAAAATTCAATAATAACCCAGTGGAAAAAACAAAACAAAACAGGCAGAAGACTTGAAAGGATACTTTACCAAAGAGAATATACAGACAACAGCAAATAAGCACATGAAAAGATGGTCAATATCAATGAAAACCACAGTGTGATGAGACTACATACCTACAAGAAAGGCTACATTTAAAAGATAAAGCAATTGGAATGAAGCTTGTGCACTGCTGGTGGAAACGTGAAATAGCAAAATCACTTTGGAAAACAGGTTGGCAGTTTCTTTAAAAAGTTAAATATACATGTACCACGTGATCCAGACTTTCTACTCAAGACAAGGAAAAGCAAATGTCTACACAAAGAACCATACACAAATGTTCACGGCAGCTTTATTTGTAATAGCCCAGAACTAGAAACAACCCAAATGTTCATCACCAGGCGAACGGCCAAACAAATTGTGGCATACCCATACAGTAGAATAATAATACATAGAGACAGAAATAAATGAACTATGATACATGCAATGACATGGGTGTATTTCAAAATAATGCCAAGTCAAACCAAAAAAAAGTCAGACCAAAAAAAAAAAAAGAGTACATACTGTATGATTCCACGTATATAAAATTGGAGAACAAGCAAACTCAACTACAGTGACATAAAGCAGACCAGTGGTTTCCTGTGAATGGGATTGAGGAAGGGGAGGAGGGTAATAAAGGGGTATGAGGAAACTCTTGGGGGTGATGGATATGTGCATTATCTCGATCACAGTGATAGTTTTCTAGGTATGAACTATGTCACAAGGCATCAAACTCTTCACTTTAAATATGTACGGTTAATAACAGGTCAATGATACCTCCAAAAAAGCTGTTAAAAAAATAGGACGATACTCTAATTCCAAAAGTGAGTGTTTCTACCTAACAGTATGTTGTGGGATATCTTTTCATGGTGGTGCCTACAAACAGTCCTCAGCTTTGAAGAGCTGCCTGGTTTCTATCATATGGATAGACCTTTGTAGTCTATCATATGGATAGACTACATTCAGTCTTATATAGCTGGGCATTTAGGTAGTTTTCCTTTATTTTTCTTCCCATGGAAGACTTCGCATACTTACATGAGAATTTCTAAAGGGCAGATCTGTAAAAATGGAATCCTTCAATATTTGCTTGGTCAAGCTATCCTCCAGAGGACCTGTCCCAACTTTATACCCCTAAGATGATAGTCCTTTCCCCTACAGTCTTATAATATAGGCTATTATTCTTTTTGGTCTTTGTGCGCCTCACGGGCAAAAACTGCTGGTTTCTCAATTTGTATGTCTCCAGTAGTAAGGTTTAAAAAACTTTTATGGCCGGGCACAGTGGCTCACGCCTATAATCCCAGCACTTTGGGAAGCCGAGGCGGGTGGATCACGAGGTCAAGAGATCGAGACCATCCTGGTCAACATGGTGAAACCCTGTCTCTACTAAAAATACAAAAATTAGCTGGACATGGTGCCACGCACCTGTAGTCCCAGCTTCTCGGGAGGCTGAGGCAGGAGAATTGCTTGAACCCAGGAGGCGGAGGTTGCAGTGAGCCGAG